GTATCAGGAGCGTATAATGACGTATATGTATTTGTCATTATACGCTCCTGATACTATATAGGTGGCCCTAGGCCTCCGTCATACAAATACTATATATGTGGCCTTGGGCCCCCATCATACAATATTCTATTATTACAATTCTATATAAGGTGGCCTTAGGCCCCGTCATACAAATATAACGCCGGCAACACTATAACGTGCTACTAATAACTTACCGAGTGCTGCACTAGCGCTTGTCTAGTTTTTTCCTATTTAATGCTATATATATATGCCTATGGGTAATACAATCAGCATATACCATGGTAAATTGTTTTAGCATTACTAAAATACGTAAAAAAAGAACTATTTTCGGTCGAAGAAGGGTTATTGTCGGAGTGACCTGACGGGGGCTGGAGGCCACCGGCGGAGGACGAGGTGGCCTAAAGCCACACGTAGATGTGGATATCTGTCGCCTGCGCTGCGCATACCAGCCAGTACACAATCTGGCTACGTTAGTGTGTTAACGCATGGGCAATATCTCACCAGAGGAGTTATATTTTATAAAGATTATGCTTTTAAAACGAAGAGGAGTTATCCTAGCATAGATTTATATGATACCATTCCATCAGTTGACATCATTTAAGAAATAAGAGGAAGACCTTACATGTAAGGTTCCCGCTGCGTATACCAGCCAGTAGACAATCTGGCTACGTTAGTGTGATAGCGCATGCGCAATATCTCACCAGAGGAGTTATATTTTGTGATGAATATACATTTAAAATGGTTAGGAGATATCTCAGCATAGATTTCCCTAATAAACTTTTATCAGTAGACCTCTGTTTATAATTAGGAAAGCGCCCTAGCATGTAGAGTACAAAACACCTACTTTATGCCCTCGCGTCCTTCCCCTTGCCTCCCCTGTCCCTCGCCCAGCCTCCTTCTTCTTCTACCGCCCCCAGCTATCTTTCCTGCCGCCTTTCATTAGTCTCCCATCTCCTCTCCCCGCAGCAAGCTATATTATAAAGTTTGCCTTAGACGGCACTGCACGCCTAACACGGTGCGTGCGCATGCGAAATATCTCCCGAGAGAAATCGTATTTTGCAAAGATTATGCATTTAAAATAAAGTGAAGTTATCCTAGCATAGATTTATATGATAACATTCCATCAGTAGACATCATTTAAGAATTAGGAGAAAAACCTTGGATGTAAGGTCTCCGCTGCGTATATACCAGACAGTACACAATCTGGCTACGTTAGTGTGTTAGCGCATGCGCAATATCTCACCAGAGGAGTTATATTTTGTGATGAATATGCATTTAAAAGGGTTAGGAGATATCTCAGCATAGATTTTTCTAATAAACTTTTATCAGTAGACCTGTGTTTATAATTAGGAGAGCGCCCTAGCATGTAGGATACAAAACACTTACTTTATGCCCTCGCGTCCTTCCCCTTGCCTCACTTGTCCCTCGCTCAGCCTCCTTCTTATTCTACCGCCCCAGCTATCATCCCTGCCGCCTTTCCTCAGTCTCCCATCCCCTCTCCCCGCAGCAAGCTATATTATAAAGTTTGCATCAGACGGCACTGCACGTCTAACACGGTGCGCGCGCATGCGCAATATCTCCCGTGAGAAATCGTATTTTGCAAAGATTATGCATTTAAAATAAAGAAGAGTTATCCTAGCATAGATTTATATGATACTATTCCATCAGTTGACATCATTTAAGAAATAAGAGGAAGACCTTACATGTAAGGTCCCCGCTGCGTATACCAGCCAGTACACAATCTCGCTACGTTAGTGTGTTAGCGCATGTGCAATATCTCACCAGAGGAGTTATATTTTGTGATGAATATGCATTTAAACTGGTTAGGGGGTATCTCCGTATAGATTTCTCTAATAAACTTTTATCAGTAGACCTGTGTTTCTAATTTGGAGAGCGCCCTAACATGTAGGGTACAAAACACCTACTTTATGCCCTCGCGCCCTACCCCTCGTCTCCCCTGTCCCTCGCTCAGCCTCCTTCATCTTCTACCGTCCCCAGCTATCTTCCCTGCCGCCTTTCCTCAGTCTCCCATATTCTCTCCCCCGCAGCAAGCTATATTATGAAGTTTTCCACAGACGGCACTGCACGCCTAACACGATGCGCGCGCATGCGCAATATCTCCCGAGAGTAATCGTATTTTGCAAAGATTATGCATTTAAAATGAAGAGGAGTTATTCTAGCATCGATTTGTATGATACCATTCCATCAGTTTACATAATTTAAAAAATAGGAGGAAGACATTGCATGTTAGATCCCCGCTGCGTATACCAGCCAGTACACAATCTGGCTACGTTAGTGTGTTAGCGCATACGCAATATCTCACCAGAGGAGTTATATTTTGTGATGAATATGCATTTAAAATGGTTAGGGGGTATCTCAGTATAGATTACCCTAATAAACTTTTATCAGTAGACCTGTGTTTATAATTAGGAGAGCGCCCTAGCATGTAGGGTACAAAAATCTAATTTATGCTTTCGCGTCCTTCCCCTTGCCTCTCCTGTCCCTCGCTCTGCCTCCTTCTTCTTCTTCCGCCCCAGCTATCTTTTCTGCCGCCTTTCCTCAGTCTCTCATCCCCTCTCTCCCTCAGCAAACTAAATTATAATGTTTGCCTCAGACGGCACTGCACGTTTAACACGGTGCGCGCGCCTGTGCAATATCTCCCGAGAGAAATCGTATTTTGCAAAGATTATGCATTTAAAATAAAGAGGAGTTATCCTAGCATAGATTTATATGATAATATTTTATCAGTAGACATCATTTAAGAAATAAGAGGAAGGCCTTGCATGTAAGGTACCCGCTGCGTATGCAGGCGACAGATATGCACATCCAAGTGTGGCCTTAAGCCACCGGGGGCCTTGGACCCCGCTGGCGCAATAATACACCGTGCAGGTGATGCAGCCTACTTTTCTTTGCTGGAGGCGGTATAGCTTACAACCAAGGCTTACCACACACTACTATATAGGAGGCCTTAGGCCCCCTTCATACACAATACTATATATGTGGCCTTGGTGGGCCGCCAGCATACACTATACTACAATACTATATAGATGGCATTAGGCCACCGTCATATACAATACTATATATGTGGTCTTGGGCCCCCGTCATACAAATACTATATATGTGGCATTGGGCCCCCATAATACACTATTATTACAATTCTATATAGGTGGCCTTAGGCCCAGGTCATACAAATATAACGCCGGCAACA